CGGGATTCGCCCCCTGCGCGGCCCCCCCCCCCGCATCCAGGGGTTCAGGGGGGCGCCCTGGGCAGGCCGCGGGTGTGAGACCCGACGGCCCTGCATCTGTAACCCCACAGCAGGGATTTTGCACAGTACAGGCCCCGCCGCCCCTGCTGCTGGCACGGCCCCGAAGCGCCTTCACCTCTTGACCTCCTCCTCCTCCTCCTCCTCCTCCTCCTCCTCCTCCTCCTCCTCTTCCTCCTCACCAGACTTCCTGGTGCCGCTGGTGCTGGCCGGGGGTGGCGGCAGTGGGGGACGGTGGGGCGCCTGGGCCGCCTCGCGGCCCAGGGCGCCGCCCCCCAGCAACCCCCTGCGCGTGGCCTGCGCCCTGCGCCTTCGGCGGACACCTCCTGCACGCCCTCCTGCGCCCAGCGGCGTGCTCGCGCCGGGCGCCCTCTCTCCGTGGCCTGCGCCCTCGCGCCCTCGCGCCCTCGCGCCCTCGCGCCCGCGCCCTCGCGCCCTCGCGCCCTCGCGCCCGCGGCCCGCGCCCTCGCGCCCTCGCGCCCGCGGCCCCGCGGCCCTCGCCCGCGCCCTCCTCCTCCACCGAGCGCCTTGGCGCCGCGCTCGGGCCCCGGGGCGCGGGCCTCCCCGTGCGGGCGGCCGGCCCCCCGTGCGGGCCTCCTCGCTCCGGCCTCTTCGGTGTTCGAGCCGCCTCGTGGCGCACCCTCCAGCCGCCTCCTCCTCCTCCTCCTCCTCCTCCTCGTCCTCCTCCTCGTCCTACTCCTCGTGCTCCTCGTGCTCCTCCTCCTCCTCCTCCTCCTCCTCCCATCCTCCTCCTCCTCCTCCTCGTCCTCCTCCTCCTCCTCCTCCTGCCTCGTGGCCCACGGGTCGGGCGCGTGGCCTTGGAGCTGCGGTCTCGGGAGCCTCGGCTTGGCGCGGCGCGCCGCCGGTTCTGGCCCACCCTGCGTCGGCGCGACGCGCGGACCACGTCCCAGTCCGCGAACGTCAGCATCTCGAGCTTTCCCGGCCTCGAGCCCCGCAGAGCGAAGCGACACGCCATCCGCTTGCAAGGCATAACGCGTCGCTGGGCCCGCCTCCGCGACATGCTAAGCAAAAACTCCCGACCGTAAGGAGGTGCGTCGCCTTCCCGGATCCGCCTGCTTTCTCGTGGGCCTTCGAGGGACGTGCCCCCGTGGTTTGCCGAGTTGACCTTTTTCATCCGTGATGCGTTCTCATGGGGGTCTTCTGCTCGCGCCCCGTAATAAATCAAGTAACTGCGCACACGCCAAATTTAGTCAGCCACGCGCACGTCCGATGTCAAGTCGGCGCGCCACGCTGCCAGGCGTGTTTATCAAGGGGTTCTCAGCTGCTCTACTTGGTCAGCCCTTCTTCCTTTCTCCTTCTGTGTGTGCAGTAGGTGGTGTCGCAACCACAGCGGACGGGGCTGGCCTCTGCGCCAGCGTCGCCAGGACATCTGGCGAATTCCGTGCTGCCTGCCTCGCCCCCTCTTACGTTCCCTCCCCCGCTCCACAATTGCACAATATGAATACGGTGAGGCGTGCGTTAAGGAATGTGCACAGGAGTCTTGATACCCTGGAGGATTCCTTATCTGATGAGGGTGACGGTGATGTCCATGGCCAAACATCAGTTGGTGTTCCGCTGGCTTCCAGACCCTGGGTTCCTTATCTAAGGGTTCCTTATACAATGCCCCCACCGTGCTATTATCCTCTCTCCCATGAGTCTGTGCGAAAGATGGCTGGCACCCCTCCGCGTACTGTTTCTTTACATACCGGATTGCCAGGAGTTTGGTTTTCACTTGTGTTGTTGGCGATCCGATTTTTCCCGGTCCTTCAAAATGTGGTTCCCGCTGCAGCGCTGGCCTCATTTTCGGGCTTCAGCTTGTTCCGAATCGTGCTCCCGCTGCAGCGCTGATCTCATTTCCACGCTTCCGCTCGTTCCGAACCGTGCTCCTGCTGCAGCGCTGGCCTCATTTCCAGTGCCATGCCATGGCATGCAATGCAATGCTATGCTATGGTGTGTTCTGCTGTGCGATGCCATCCCTTCAGCTGCCATGCTCTGATATGCAGTGCTTGACTACGCAGTGCCACGCCATGCTACGTCATACTACGCGTTGATCTTCAACGCCATGTTGTGCCCTGTAATGCTTTGCCATGCTACGACATCCGGCTGCGCGAACTGCGCGAATAGAGAGGATATCTACGCCATGGTAAGGGATGGGAGGGACGGGTAGGACGTCAGATATGGCGCTTGCGCACCTAGCTCGCCCTGCCCGCCTTCCCCTTCCCCACCCCCTCTGGATGCCTTCGGTGGTCTCTGGGGTCTCGACCAAGGGCAAAACATCCCGAACATCTCGATCGTCGTCGTCGGCATCGTCGTCGTCCTCACCGTCGTCGTCGTGCTCCTCCTCCTCCTTCTCCTCCTGCTCCTCCTCCTCCTGCCAGCTCCCCCTCCTCATCGGAAGGAGCTGAAGGCCAACGGGGTCACGATTGCCGACCTCCCTGTGTGACGGCGGCCCCGAGGGGCGCCACGGAATCGCCAGCAGCGCTGTTGGCTCGCCGGGCGGGCGGGCTCCCCTCGCCGTCCGGTCCCTCCCGTGTCCACGGAAGGCGCGCCCGAAGGGACTTCACATGCGAGGGATCCAGAGGTTGGTTTCTTCGCTTCAGCGAAAAGCATGCGGAAGTCAGTAGAACCCAAACGAACCCAAACGACGGCGGCTCCGCCGGCAGAAGTGATTAAGTTCGCCTCCCAAAATACCAACACCCGCTTTCGTTTGGATTCAGGTGGGTCGGACATGTACGGCAGTTTCGCGCCGCTTTGACGCGGCAGCGGCATTAGCGCGGGCGTTCAAGGTTGAAAGTCGCTTGTGGCCCAGAGTCGGCCGAACTTGATCAATCTGGGCGATGGGAAATCTGTGATCTTTCAAGGTTTAACGATCCACGCAGAGATAGAAACAAGTTCTGGTCGGCACGATAGTATCCTGCCGTACACCATGCATCTCAGCCAGGCCCACATGTAGCCAGTAGGATCAGTATACCGCTGTAGCCTTCGGGCCATAGTGACAAGTTGTGTACCATATACCTATACGACCACCCTTCCAGGGCTCATTTCGATTCCTCCGATTCGATGCGGTTCGATTTCGATGGCCTCCGATTCCGATTCGATTCGACTTCGGATTCCGATTTGGATGCCGATTCCTTAATGGGAAACCTACTAGCCTGCCGATTTCTGCCGATGCGACTTATCCCGACTTGGCTGCCGAGTTCTGCCGATCCGATGAGTTTCGACCGCCGATCAGACTTATCGATTCGATTCTGGGCTCTCCAGCCCTTCGGTTGATAAGGAGGTCGGGGGGAAAGGACCAATTGATGGCAATATTGGTGGAGGTGATGAGCACGATACCGATGAAGCGCCCTCGGGTTGGCGACAATCGATCTCACAACAGATCACACTATGGATCTCCCAGTCGATCTCACCTTCGATCTGACAATCGAATTCACTACCAATCTCACATTCCAACTCACGATCGATCTCACAAGAGTTCTCACGATCAGTCTCACAACCGATTTCAAACATCGTTTGCAACATCGGTATCATGATCGATATCACTGTCGACCGCACTATAGATCTCGCAAGCGATCTCACCATCGATCTCACAACAAGTCTCATCATCCATCTCATAACGGATCTCACGGTCGATCTCCTAAACGATCCCACTATCGATCTCGCCGCCCTGCTCCAAGACACTGGCTCGCGCCGCCCTGCCCTGGGACATAGGACACCGACGGGACACCGACGCGCCACCGACGGGACACCCCTGGCCACCGCGCGCCGGGGGGGGGAGGGGCGGACAACCGGCTCCACAGCCTCCAGCCACGGCGGCGACACCGACGGGACACCGACGCGCCACCGACGGGACATCCCTGGCCATCGCGCGCTGGGGGGGGGAGGGGGGGGGACAACCGGCTCCACAGCCTCTAGCCACGATCTTGGAGGACATCGAGCAAAGAAGGGGGTTCCATAATTAGCCCTCGCCCCCTTCCCGGAGCCCTTAAAACCACCTCTTGGGGGCTCTCTTGGGGCGGTCTTGGGGCGCTCTTGGGCGCTCTTGGGGCCGTCTTGGGGCCATCTTGGGCCCATCTGTGGGCTCTCCCGGGCCATCCCGGAACCATCTCGAGGCCTCGGAAGGCAATCGGAAGTGAAATGGCGAGAAGGCAAACATAATTGAACCCCGCCTCCTCAGCTTGAACCATCTTGGGCTATCTGTAGTCACCTTGGATGCCATCTTGGGCTACCCGAGGCCCTCTTACAACCATCTTGGGCCATCCTGGACCTTATGACCTCTCGCTGGGCCCATCGCCCAGACCCATGGGGCATGGGTACCCCCTTGCTGAAGGGGAAGACTAGGCTGGAAGAAGACAGGCATTCTAGACTCCTAAACTACCGACGCCCAAAGGGCTGGTAGGTCTTGGCGAGCGAATCGCGCCGCGGGTTCCGATGGTGGGGTTCCGGCGTTGACCCAAGAATTCTGTGCGGACCTCTGAGAGTTCACGTTTGTGCCACTTTCTGCTCGACTGCAGCATGCACATCAAATAGGATGTCGGCCTGCCAGCCTATGCCCAACGGAATTGTCGTATCCCCCGATGGCCCCAGGGTCACACAGAAGCTCTGGGCACCTCGGGACCCTCAGGAATCGACGAAAACAGTGCCCCCAGACTCACTGTAGCACGATATCTTGTCGAGTATCTCCTCTACAGTGAAGTTTTGCGTGGCGTTTGCGCCAGGGTTTCATCTCTTGAGTGCCAGGGCATGTTTTCAAACATCCATTGTATTCTGGCGCGCGTACGCGCCATGGTTCAACGGCGGCTGTGCGCGACCATGTTGTCATGTCGCTCGCGCGGGGGAGCATTTCGATTGGTTTCGGCTACGTTCTCAAACATCACGTGAATGTCGGCGCGCTCGCGAGACACCATCTTCGATCGCCTACGACCTAGTGTTTTTAAACATCCCATGTGTTCAAAATCCCGTGTGTTTACGGCAGCCGGGACGACACGCGATCCAAAAGAGTTGATAACGCTCATTCCTGCCTGCGTCATGTTATCACCCATCCGCCTGCCGTTGCGGGCGCTTGGCTCAAGGGCATTTACACTTCGAAGAAGATGGTCGGCGAACCTGAGTCTGGAGGTCGCGCTGGGCCCTTGTAGTCGGAAAAGGGTGTGCTCGTTCGCGCGCACACATCGCCGCCATGCCATCGATCAACACGAGGGGACAGATCATGCACAAGGTCCTCCCGAAGAGACCCTTTGAGCTGGGAGAAGAGGGAAGGAGGTACATCGCATTGGCTGGGCATTAATGAAGATGATGTAGAACATCTGATCAACAACAACAAGTTCCCGACCATTGATCCTCCCTGTAGCTGCGCGGCCCAACCCGCCGGTAGGATTCACGTGCTGCTGCAGCGCGCGGGCCCAGCGGCACAGGCTGCGGATCAGTGCCCCCCTGTCGGCCGTGCTCCGCCGCAGCGCCGTGCTCGGCCGGGGCAGCCCGTCGGCAGCGCCCCCAGACCACAGCGAGGCGCGCGCGCGGCCGCAGGGGCGGCGCTTCCTACGGTCGGGAATTTGGGGATAGCGCGTCGCGCCGCCAGTTCGGGCCCGCCGCATTTCGGTGCGACGCGATGTCTACGTCCGGGCCCCCAGGCGTCCGCACGCAGAGTTTTTCTGATTTTTTCGCCCCGCGGCGCGGAGCGACGCGCTATCCGGTTGCAAGGGATTGTGCGTCGCTGGGGCCGCCGCGGCGACACGCTATGCAAGAGTTCTCGACCGTAGAGAGGAGTGCGCGCGATTTCTCTCTCCCTGAGCTGCCCCCACCCGTATCGTTTTCCCTCGTGGACTCGGGGGCCCGCGGCTCCGCCCGCGGCGCGGCCCCAAGCCCGTTGGGCCTCATCGACGCGTGGGCGCCGCGCGGCCGGCTTATCCATCGAGGAGGAGGAAGAGGAGAAGGAGGAGGAGGAGGAGGAGGAGGAAGAGGAGGCGGAGGTTGAAGAGTGCGAGATCGACCGTCATTTTGTTTTTCGAGCTCTACGCCCAGGCGCCTTCAAATGCCAGCCAAAGTTCGGTTGGCGATTGGCATGTTAGTGCCGAGGAAGAAACGCCTTGTATGCATGACTACCCGACGGGGCAAGGGCAAGGAAATGATGAAATCAACGCGTACATGTAGCAGCGTCAACAGTCACTCCGTGCTTTTGCTTGCTATAGCGAGGACGCTTACATTCACACAAGGCCACGAGAGAAGGAGAGAGAGGAGACATAGACAGAGAACGAAAAAGAGAGAAAGGGTAGGTGGTCAGCGGAGTATGTCCCCTAATACGTCCAAAGTGAGGGACACCAGACCCTTGTGTATCAAATATTCGAAAGCATGTGCACGATAGGGGCATCGCACCACGCCGCGTCCGTAACGTCACCCTTGGGGAAGGTGTAGCAGGAGGGGGCTGCCCGTGAAAAGGGCATCAGGAGGGTGCCTCTCTCTGCGAGGGGGTCAGCCCGCGGGCAGCAGAGAACTCCTCTCTGGCTTTCGGCGCCCTGTCGCCTACAGCGGGCTCCATCGATGTCGGGAGGGCGGGCCGGGCGTTTTGGTTTTCGACTTCCTCACCATTTTGGGTTCTGAGGCTTGAGAGTCCAATAGCTACAAGGACGGAGGGGGGTGGTTTTCAAACCGGGGCTTTCGCCGGAGCGCTGCGCGCATTCGTGTTGAAAGCACGCAACGGGCACAAGGATGGATGAGGGTAGTTTTCAAAAAGGAGCTCTCGACTGAGTGCAGCGCGCATTCGTTTTGAAAGCTTTCAACGGGTACAAGGATGGAGGGAGAAGGTTTTCAAAATGGAGCTGATGCCAGAGCTCCACTCGCATTTGCTTGAGAGCATGCGATGGGTACGAGGATGGAGGGGGGAGTCGAAAACGGGGCTCCCGCCTGAGCGGCGCGCACGGTTTTTTGAAAATCTTGCAGCCGCTTCAAGGACGGAGGGCGGTTCACTTTCAAAGTCGGGCTCTCGCAAGAACGCCCCGCCTAACTGTTGTCAAACATTGGAACGGCAACAGGGATGGGGAACGAATCCTTTTCAACATGGGGCTGTCGCTCGAGCCTTTTTCTGATTCTAAGACCAGGGTCTTGAACACATCGCTGAAGGGCTTCGCTCTCTGCCGCCAGCCCCCCTCGGATCGCTTGCGTGGCTACGTTTGCTCAGTCGGTTAGTTCGCTGGATTCTCGGTTGGTTGGTTGGCAACTCGGTGTGTTGGCCCTTTGTCTTCTACATGGGTTGTTGGCAGTTGGTTTCGGTTAACTTTTGTTTCGGGCTGGGCGATCATGATACCATACGAGGGGGCACTCGTGAAGAAGCCATGGGTTGCACGACGTACATGTCACCACGTAGACTGTGCCACACAGGCTGCACATTTTTTGCCACACAGGCTGCACCACATGTGTTGTACAGTATCGAAGATGGCCGCGGGAACG